CCACACGCAAAATTCCCGCTCATCTTCGTAAGCTTCGATGTGCATCCCCTTTATCGCCATATCAAAGCCATATTTTTGAAGTTTGTGGAACAAGAAGAAGCGGAGCTCATGGATATCGTAATAGCCAGTGTTGTATCGCTCAATGACCCACCGAAGTGTCAAGCAAGTGTTCATTTCTAGCTCCAAGTCTGGGCCGGCTCCTTCCACTTCATTTTCAGCAGCGCCCGCAGCATCCTCATCATTGGCTTGAATTTTGGCAGCAACAATAGAATCTTTCCCGGCTTGAAAACCGTTCTCATACATAAACTCCCCATATTCAGATTTCTCTCTCTCCAATTTTGCCATCTTGTCTTGATGGGCATCCCGTTGCCGGCCCATAAGTTCGCGGACCTCGGCACATTCTTTACGGGTTGCGACATGTTCGGCCCTTTCTTTCAGCAGCTTACCTTCCACCTCCTCGGCCCTGGCTTCCAAAGCCTTAGAATGCCTTTCGGCAAAAGCGAGACGCTCTTTAAGTTTGGCCACTTCATTTTGAAAGGCCTTCTTCTCCTCGGACAACGCCGAGATCTCGGTTTGTGCTACCTCCAATTGAGCGGCTTGTTCAGAAATTTTCTCTTTCAACTCGGCCTCAACTTTGGCTACCTTATTCTTCAGAGACGCGATCATTATGTCTCTCTCAGTAACAGTCTGTTTTTTTCCTTCCAACTGGGCATCAATCCGGCTGTGATCGTCCTCAGCCGCCACCAAACTCACTAAAGCCCGACCCAGACAAGCCTTGGCATAACTCAACTTGTCCACACTGGACAAAGAAGAGACCCCCACTTTGGATTTGGGGTCCCACACCATTAAAGGCACACGCGCAGCGCTCTTCGCGTTCTCCGGCATATCTATCCTCGAGGACATGTGAGGAGATTTAACAGATTGAAAAGTGGTGAACCACTCTTCCACTACACCCTGTGGCACTTTGACATTGGCAGCTCTCTCGTCGTTAATGGATAAAAATGACTTCTCGAACAAGGGAGATTCATCAATGCCCTTTTCTGTAACTCTACGACTGGAGTCGTGCTTCTTTTTTGATCTCTTCTCCACCCCGGAAGAAGCTCCAACATCAGACATCTTTACCAATTTCCTCTTCTTCCTCTTCTCCGGTTGATTGGACTCCATAGACTTCAGAGGGGATGGTTGTTTTTCTGGCACCTCGGGGTGCGTCGGCTCAGCCACGGCCAACTCGGTCCCCAACATGTCTGGCTCGGGCTTAGCTTGGTTAATTGCAACAGCATTCAAAACTGGCAGCACCTCGGTAGGTGCAACCTCTTGCTGGGACTTCGGACTTTTTGGGACAACTGCCGACGTCGCACTAGATCCCACTTTGGTCGGCTTCTTACCAGCGTTCTCTGGCCAGCGGTCTCTTCACCAAAGCGCGGACTAAATCTCACCTCATAGCGTCAGTCAACCGCAAAGTCTCGGATCTTACCGAATTTAGATTGTAGATCCTTATTTGGATAGCGACGCCTAAACTCTTTAGCCTCCCTAACAGTTCGGTAGCCTAAAAACCCGAGCAATGGATAATATACTGCACCAAGACAAAAGACAAACGAAGTCATCAACAATTATTCTACATAGATATGAAAATAGTGGTAAAAGTACCAAGTATCAAATTCCTCTTACCGGGGTCGAATTTAAAAGTGGATACTCCGAGAGACAGACCAGTAGCTTCGAGCTTCGGATCTACCACGAGTTTGCGATAATCCCGAATATCTTTGTCCAAACCAGCAAGCACGAGTAACTTCCCACCGAACTCTGGACTCAATTTCGGCTCCTTCTGCTTCGTCTCTTTTTCTACAAAGGGTAAAAGTTCTGACCTGTTAGTGCACAGAACAAAACGACATCAGAGAAACATACAAGGAATAAAGAATAAAATAAACTCACTTGCTCCGGAATGAATATTCATCGGAATTGTCATCCCGTCTATCCGAGGTTCATGGAAAAAAATCTCAGATTGCCATTCTCCTCCGACCCACAGCCATTCTTCCTGGAAGCCGTGGAGGGTTTCCGGGATGTCGGTTATTATCTCACCGACCTGAAGACCATGTTGCGGTTTCACTCCGGCAAAGAAACTACAAGAAGATTCTGCCACCCTCCTCTTCGGACTTTTCTTAAAAGCATAAATGCTTTTAATTTCTTCACACGACGGCAAACCCTCGCCCCTTTCGTATAACAACACCATCAATCCTATGATTTCTTCCAACTATTTGGTGTTATTTGGCACAGGGGTAACCCCCAACTCTGGAGATACTCTGTAATCAAATTTGGCAAGGGGAATCTCAACCCCGACCTCAAGCTCTCTGCAAATACACCGACACAACCCGGAGGAGGGCTAGTTATTCTTTCCCCAGGGTAGGGCGCAAATATTTTCACCGAGGGCGGAATCCGTATTTGTTCCAGGAGCATCACCACGTCAGCGTCTGTTAAAATACTAGGCTCCCCTTCGAAATTGACCTTTGGGTCGGGCCACGTCCTCACTGGTCTCCTCCAGTGAGGTTCCTCGACGTCGGCCGCATTATGCTCCACCACGCAATCGCCGTCCTCATCGTTTGGCTTAATGTCCAAGTGCCTCACCAACATCAGATCCCATCGATGATATTCAAAAGCCAACTCCACCAACTCCGAGTCGTGATACACCTCGAGCGGGACCGACTCGGTACTCGAGAAACTATCAACCGCTTTACCCTTTCCCTTTGACGCCATTGAACAAGAAGAAGAATACAGAACAAAGAAAAAGACAAAAATCGACAATGAAGCTTACCAAGGAATCAACGAACAGATAATCGCGCACAAAGAACGAGTCTCAGATTTGCACAAGAAGCTCGATAGCAGTTCGCAAGAATTCAAGAATCAAAGCAAAAGTAAAGAAAGTTCAATTAAAAATCTCGACGCCCTATTTATAATTTCCGATTTCTGACCGTTGGGAACCTCAATTAGGGGCGCGTGCAACCAGCGGCGGATACAGAACTTTTTCCCAGCCAGGGCAATATGAAAAAATAAATACTTAATTTTTTTAAAAAAATTCATTTTAATTAAAAAAAAATACAATCTTTTAGTCAATGATGGGAAGGTAATTGTCCACGACGCGATTTCATATTTTGAAATCGATGCATTATAGCATCATTGCTAATGCTATTAAATACATCTTTCTCAATGTAAACAAGTAAACTATCATTCATCCATTGATCTCCCATTCTATTGCGGAGTGGATTCTTCACGAGATTCATAGTCGAAAATACTCTTTCCACTGAAGCTGTAGCATCCGGAAGAACTAAAGCAAAATTTAGAAGCTTGTAGATCAATGCATAAGTTAGGTGCTTTCTTGTCTCCACCATTTTTTTTGCAAGACCACCAAGTCCCTTAAGTTGAGAAAAATTAGTATTCGTTCGCATATCAGTGATGTAGATATCAAGCTTGTCTTCAAGTGCTAGCACATCTCTTTCAGAAAAATCTCTCGGATAGAATTTAGCAAGGCGGAGTAACTTTTGCTTGTCGAAAGCAAAAAATGAATCATCCGGAGTCAAGCTTGCAACACAAATGAGAAGCTCGGTGTTTACCTCATTAAAGCGGTCGTTCAAATCTGAAAGTTGTCTATCAATCACCGAGTAAAAGACATCCACTCGATAATGATGTAAGACAGTTAACTTCTCAGCCCTACGCTGAGATTTTCCATGAGCAACAAATATAGCATCCATGTCCGGAATATTAATGTCGTGCTTATTACAAAAAGAATTTACCTTCTGCAACAAATTCTCCCATTCGCAGTCTTCCTCCCTCATTCTTTGGAGTTGCTGTTTACTTGCCCTAACCAAATCCATAGCATTGACAATATCATGATCATTCCTCTGCAGTGCTAGTGACAACTCATTCGTTACATCTAAAATTTGTCTCATTAGAAAAAAGACAAAATATGAAATCAAGTGATTGCATCTGTACAAGCAACAAATTGCATTCTCCTCTTTGATCCGCACTGGCCCCATCTTCAATTATCATTTCAATAACTTTAATGATAGAAGAGAACATAGAGATAATGCTCAACAAAGTATTATAATGGGAACCCCAACGTGTGTCACCTGGACGTTTAAGAGCGGTTTCTTGGTTTAGTCCTCTTCCACTTGGGAGCTCATCATTGTAGAGAGCTTCTATAAGTTCGTTTTGTCTTTGCTCCCGAAGAAGATCACGACGTTTACAAGATGCTCCAACAAGGTTAAGGACTCTTGTCACCATGAAAAAAAAAGAAGCAACCCCGACATAATTTTTAGCTAAAGCAACAAGGGCAAGTTGAAGTTGATGGGCAAAACAATGAACATAAAAGGCACAACTATTTTCTTTCAAAATTAGTGCCTTGAGACCATTAAACTCGCCTCGCATATTACTCGCCCCATCGTAGCCCTGGCCTCGGAGATTTGATATGCTCAACCCATTTCTAGAAAATAGCTCATCAATTGCAAGTTTTAAAGAATATGCATCAGTACTTTTGACGTGTTCAATACCCACAAATCTTTTAATTACTTCACCTTTAGTATCAACAAAACGTAGAACCACCGCCATCTGCTCTTTTATCGAATGATCTCAGGCTTCATCAACCAAAATAGAGAAAGGAGCATCACCCATTTGACACATAATTGCATTAACATTTTCAACAGCAGCTGCATTTATAATGTCTTTTTGTATACTAGGAGACTTCAACTGAAGATTTCTGGGTGCATTTTCAAAGGCGACAGCCTTAACACTATCATTATGTTCAACAAGAAACTCCAAAAGTTCAAGAAAGTTCCCTTTATTTTTTGAAAATTCAAATTCATCATGACCACGAAAAGCAAGACCTTGTCGTAACAAGAAACGAACACAATCAATTGAAGCATTCAAGAGAGTATAATAATTCTGTTTCGAGACTTCCACTTGACTAATAAGTGACTCGAGGTGTTGTTTCTGATTCATTAAAGCCTGGCAATTTAACAGAGCACGATGATGAACACTACCCACAGTGCCAACATGATCTTTGACTCCCTGTTTATTTTTCCAATTATTGTAACCTGTAGCTGTGAACGTATCGCTACCCCCTTGGTCACCATGTTCCGGTTTAAAGAGATAACAACAAAGGCAAAATAGAGCATCTTTCTCTATGTTATACTCTAACCACTCAATATGATCATTGAACCAAGAAGAATTAAACCTGCGCTTAGTCCCGTAGATATCTCGCTGAGGAAACTTATGACTTCGAGGTTGACAAGGGCCCTTGAGTAGATAATGTTGGCGAACTTGATCGCGAATATTTGGATCGTAATCTAAGATACGCTTCCGGTGTGCCGGATCTGAGGGGAGATTTTCCAGAAGTTTGTCAAGTTCGGTGCTCTTTGAATTTTTGCCAAGATCGGTGCTCTTTGAATTTTGATTATCGAGCTTACTCTTCTTCTTAGATGACAAAAGAGTTGAAGGTTCCTCAATATTTGCTACTTTTCGATAGTACTTCTCCATTATTGTACCTCTGCAAGCAAAAATTTATTTCAATCAATATAAGAATTCTACAAAATAAGAAAACTCAATTGTAATTGAAGCTCGCCATATTACTTATTTTAATTGGCAATTTCAGTTCTACAAATTCAATCTTTAATCTTTATTTATTCCTGTTACCAACATGGCTTTTCAACATTTTGAAGCCAAAACAAAAGAAAACAAGAGTTGCCTTGCCAATATATATGCAATCAGTGAATGAAAATTGAAAACAAAATCAAAAGCCAAAGTGTCTGATTCAGTAAATTAAATTTCTATTAAAATGAATACGAATACTAAGTCTAGCAATTAGCATAAAAATCTCGATTGTTTCTCGATTGCTACATGCTACTCAAAAAACTACATCGAAAAAAAAAAAGAAAAGAAAAGCTGAAAACTCCAAATACACACTTCAGTAAATTAAATTGCTAATTAATGGTCTAACAATTAGCATAAAAATCTACTCAATATAATACAGAAAAAAAAAAGAAAAAAAGAGGCTGAAATCTACAATTGGATTATAATTATGAGCTGACCTTGATAGCTCCTTGAGAAGTGATTTTCTTTTCAATTCTAAGTACGCCTAATTCACAAAAACCGGAAGAATCAAATATTATGGAAGAAGATGAGAGATTGGGGATCATGTGAGTTGTGAAGGTTAAACCCCTTTTTTTCTTGTCTGTTGTTGTGCGTGTGTAACGGGACAAAAAACAAGTTTTTATTTTTTTATTTATTTTTTTATTTTTAATTATTAAGACCACAACTACATTTAAATATACATGTTATGCTTTATTTGGTCCACAAAAGTTTCTCAATTGTTTTCCAACCGCAGGGTAGAAACATTAAATTCATGTTCTTAATGGGCCACCCCAAGTACCTATTAAATATTCTTTAATAGTTGGGCTGTCATTAACTTTGTAGCCCAAATTTAAATGAAACCAAGACAGATGCTTTAAAAAATTAAAAAAAAACTTACCTTCGTCTTCTTTGCTCAGCTGCCCCTCTGCGCGAGATTTCAACCTGGGCAAAAGCTCTATTTTGACATATCTACACAATAATTCTATTAAAAATGGTAATTAGCAGCAAAAATTGAGCCTGGGCAATTGCCCAGGCTCGCCTCAATGTCCATCCGCCCCTGCGTGCAACAGACGCGACCCCTAATTCCAAGCGGTGCCATCCCTTCGTCTGACAAGAACCTACTGTACACGTGGACCCAATTAAAATGACCGTTATCTCATTTAAGACCATTACGGCGCGACTCTTCACGTTGCACATTTAATATCCGACCGTTACGTCTCTTCAAGTTATCTCTAATACTGTCCGCGACCTGTCGAAATTTCGCCAAGCGTTCTCACTTCGGAAACCAGCTCTCACTTTGGAACATACGATCCACTCCGGTCACCTCGCATACATCAGTACATCAAAAACGAGCGTTTCCAACCTCCAGCTTCCTTACCGACTCGGAGCCTCTAGCTATTTTGCAATACCGACGACCATCACTCCGTATGCCCGCCGATATTGGGGGCCTCTCTGTTATCATTCGACTCGGTAATTCTCTATTATGAGCCTCAAACAACGTCTAAGGAAACTTAACACTTACGCCGACATGGTCCGAAGTCACCCCGGTTCGCACGACAAACCGGCATAACCATAGAAGACCGAAGTGATCACCACCAACCGAGATCAACACGAACAGAGGTCGTCACCTCCTAAGCAGGTGACAAGGCGCCTACACGCCATTCTCACAAATTACGAGATCTGCTGGGACCCACTGATCTCGCCACCCGCCAAAAAGTAACTTTATAGAAAAAGCAATGCACGAATCCCGATATGTATCTCAAAAAGTTGCTATAAATAGCGAGTTCATAATACTTGTACGGGGGGGATCCCCAAAACCAAAATTTTTACAATGAAACACGAAACAACTCACAGAAACTTTTCACCTCGGTTCAACTCGGACCGAGGCCATTGTTGAGTATTTCATACATACCTTACGTTCAAATCACTAAGAATCATTAAGTAAATCCATCCTCAAATCGTTGTTACGAATCGCATAACAACATTGTCGTTTAAGTTTGTTCTCTTGTTACGAAAAGTTATTGAGAATGAATACTTAAACGTGCCGTTTAGTCAAATCACTTAACCAAACAATCTCTTGCTTGATAATTGCTATTCGAACCAAAACTTATATCCCCGACTCCCTAGCTTCTCAAATCCTATTTGTTCTACGTTGTTGCTTGCTATTTTTATTGTTTTATTTAATTATTTGCAGTAGTTGATAATTCAAAACCAATCCAATTAATTGATAATTCAAAACCAATCCAATTTTTTGACTACCAAAGATAAAAAAACATATACTTAGCGACGCTCGTATTCTGCAAGAGGAGCCCGTTGGCTGCACGATGGAAGTGCAAGCATGTGAAGTCGCGAGAGCGGGTCAAATGGTCCCACTTGCGGCAGACGAGCTTTGCCGAGTTACATATATCACGAGAGGTGAGGCGAATGAGGATGTCAAATAGCAAATCTTCGGTAAGGGACTCCAGCAAATCGGAGTACGATTGCATCTCGCCATCTATGTAGAAAAAAATTAAAATTAATTTCAACAAATCAAATACCGTTTTGAAACTATTGGCTCCACCTATCCAATAGTAATTTCAGTTTCATCATGTCTAGCTCAAATTTCGTCAAATTGTCTTTGAAGTTTTTAATTTTTTTTTCCAGCCAAAATACTCGTTAAAGTTGACTGAGTTCTACCAACGTTTGGAATTTTATGAAAAATATATGAATAGAATCCCTTTTTTTTCTTGAGGATCCTGAATTTTGCCTCGATTTGGTTCGCCGGCAATACATGCCTGCCCAATTTTTCCGGCCTCCTCAACTTGCCGGTAAAACCAAAACAAAAAACAGCTGCATTTAATACTAAATCTAATTTTTTTCCACGTGCTGGATCAGGAATTATATAGGGCACATCTAAAACACAAATTTGGAAAATTTAAGGAACGTGTTTATTGTGCAAAAACAGTAAATAAAAACATTGAAACTGAAAAAGAAATAATCTGCAAAATCATCACAGAAATTGCTAACAACTACGGCCGACGATTGGGTGGTGATGGAGAATTTCGGGTCGCTCCGGTAATCCATTCCAAAAAAAAAA